AAATGAAAGTATATTTATGAAATTAATAAAAACCATATAACCCGAAGGGTTTCGAAAGGTGGACCTTTCTTCTTCAGGAGCAAACTGGAAATGGTGGTGTAATCGAATGAGTGATATATATATATATATAAAGGGAGTTTAGTGACATCATGAATGTCATCTGTTTTTCCAGGAAATGTTTAGTCTATATACGCTTTGCTCAAAATTTGCCGCCCTACACCATGGCCTTGTTTGTCCCTAAAGTAAGTCCGCCCCTGTTTAATGTATAGGATTTAGCTTTGTTCTGTTTACAGGACATAATCGTTCAACTTATAACTATGTTTAACTTGATACACAGGATATAATTTTCTTCAGTTACATCTACAGTTAATGGCTGTTAAGTGTGGTCTGTTGAAAGTAGCTGTGTCTGGATTTATCTATAGGATATTAGTGTGTTCAGGTTACAACTGTGTTTAGTTTGGTACAGATAGTATGGCTTTGTTAATTTCTATCTGTAGAATACGACTATGTTGGGCTTGTTCTGGAGGATGTGACTGCATTCAGATTACAAGTATGTTTAGTGTTTAAAATATAACCTTGCTCAGTTCCATCTGTAGGATATGACCGTATTTAGATTACAAGTATGTTTAGTGTTTAAAATATAACCTTGCTCAGTTCCATCTGTAGGATATGACGTATTCAGATTACAAGTATGTTTAGTGTTTAAGATATAACCTTACTCAGTTCCATCTGTAGGATATGACTGTATTCAGATTACAAGTATGTTAAGTGTTTAAGATATAACCTTACTCAGTTCCATCTGTAAGATGTGACTGTATTCAGATTACGAGTATGTTTAGTGTTTAAGATATAACCTTACTCAGTTCCATCTGTAGGATATGACGTATTCAGATTACAAGTATGTTAAGTGTTTAAGATATAACCTTACTCAGTTCCATCTCTAGGATGTGACTGTATTCAGATTACAAGTATGTTAAGTGTTTGAGATATAACCTTACTCAGTTCCATCTGTACGATATGACTGTGCTGAATATGATCTGTTGGATGCACCTGTGTCCAGTTTTCTCTGTAGAATATGACTGTATTCAAGTTACAAGTACATTGATGATGATGTGTAGAATATAACTTTGTTCAGTTCCATCTGTAGGATATGACTGTGTTGAGTTTGCTCTGTATCACAAAGTTGTGTTATGTTTCCTCTGTAGCTTACAACTATGATCAGTTCCTTTTGCAGTTTTTCCTTTGCAAAATCGTTTCAATACATGTGAATATGTTCAAGTCTTGTTATAGGTTTATTATTAATTTTCTTCTCTATTAAAGTTGAATATTAAGTTTACTCCACTATTTCATAGAATATGACTGTATTTAGTTATTTATGTAAATTATGATTTGAATTAAAATTTTTCTGTCATAAAAACAATTTTTATGTAATAGAAAATTGGTTATGATTTTTCAATGGCCTATACTCCTTTGTCCTGTTTGTATAATAAAATAATGCTTAACATCTTTTGTAGGTTATAACTATGCTCTATTTCTTATGCAAGCTATAAGTATATTCAATTTCTTGGGAACATATAATGATACTTGTCTTATGAGCCACTACCTATTTTATTGAATTTGTCATAACTTTCACTGGAAAACTTCATAACTTGTTGTTAAAGATTAATTGATTCTTAATTCCATTCTATCATAAACAAAATTATTCTATGTTCATTAACATACTCTTGTTTTTGTACAAAGTAATAGCAGTGTAAATTATCCAGGATGAATTTAGTTTACTGACCTTAACCCTTCAGATGAAGCAATTATATGCATATAATGCACATTGCTAAACAACAAAAAGTTCTAACTATTATATAAAAATATTTATAAGAAGTAATTTAAAGAATATTATTTTACAAACCTCACCCATTAGAACCATAAAAACAGACATAAGGAACAAAACAGAAATATAACATGTGTCCTTTTGAAGAAAGACTTTTTATTTACAGATGCTAAACAAATTGTTTAACAAATATACAAATATATTTTCACAATATTGCAGCCTCAAGTTGGGTTGCAAAGGGATCTTTCAAAAATAGAATTATGTATACACTGAACTGTCTTTTAAAAAGACATAAAACTTGGACACTGTGTTTTCAAAAGGTTGAATTTAATATGTAACTGCTTGTAAGGAAATTAAACATCCCCATAACTGTTTAGGAAATGCTTTCTTCAAATAAATACTACAACGGGTTGAACTTTCCACTGTCGGTTCTTTTCTATATTGAACTTTCCCCATTGTCCTGTGAAGCAAACAATTTCACTTTTTTGGGAACTTCATATTTCATTACATGTTGGTCTACAGCATTTCATTTGTCAATCAAGGTTCCTTTAGGTTTGGACTTCTTAATACCTTGGTCATTTGGTGCAACCTAGAGAAAAGATAGTAATAATGAACTGAAATATGATAACAATGAGCAACACAATATTAATCTTTCATCTAAAACTCACACAATTAAAATACTTGATAAACATAACACTTCAACTCTTGCATCATTATTTGAAATGCAGTCTGATAAATTTCTAGTTGATAATTACAACCAGTGAAGTTACTTACTGAAGATACACATTACAATTACACTTGATGTAACAAGTTTGATACACACTTCTACACTTAGCACCATCTAAAAAGGTTCTTTAATTTGTTAAACTGTTCTAAAAGCCATTCACATTAGAAACACCTTATCAACTTTATCTTTACAAACATACAGTTGAGTAAAAACACTCAAAAGCCTACATATTGTTATTTTAACTTTTACCCTAATGAAACACAATTATCTGTTTTTTTAAACCAATAATGGGTTCTAGACATTAAAGGCAGATGATATCTAGTGCTACTTGATAAAAGCTTGTAGAACTTCGTTCCTCAAAATTGCAAAGGGAATTAGTTTTTTCTGATAATAATTTTCACTACATTATTACAACTTTGTATAGTTGTATTATGGTTCCAGAATGGTTACTTCAAAATATATGAAAGAATACATGAATATACTACTTTTCAGTACACCAATATATTGTCATGTTAGTTGTACTAAAGCAAAACTTCAACTAACAAAAACTTGATTTTTTTGTACGCAATTAAATCTTACTTGATTTTTTGTATGCAATTAAATCTTACTTTAGATGTGTAAAACAGGCAAGAAATGACTGTGTTCACTTCAGTGAGTCCATAATTTATGTTACTAAACAAATAACATGATAGTTTATCTGTACACTTAAAAGTTTTCTGAGGTAATAAAAAAGAACAAAAAAAGATTTTAACGTTTTTAACTAAACAATATATTTCATCTTTTATTAAGAAATTGAGATGCCAAATTCTACATACAGCAAAACAGTTTTTATGTCTCTACAAAAGCAAAAAATGACTTGGATTTTTTTCACCTAAATATTTTTATTTGTTTTTAGGTAATAAATGTGACTACAATGCTATTTATTTCTACACTGTTAAAGTTAAGGCACTATTTTAATTGAAAATGTATGCTATTAATAATAAATTATGGTTTATTTCATATCAAATGATTTACATTAGCATGTCAAATTACACGTAATGAAAGTGATATACATATGTACATATTCTTATTTTAAGAAAGTCCTAAATAATTTATTTGTGAAGGCATCCTAAAAGGAAGAATGGGACCACTTAATTTAACTGCATATTGAAAAGAATGGTACTGATTAATTTAACTACACACTGAATAGGATGGTATTGGTTAGTTTGGTTACTTTATGGATTTGTTTACATTGTAAGATTAGTGATACTCATTAATTCAATTGTATATTGAAATGGATTGTATTGGCTAGTCTGATTATATAATGGATGTGCATGACTAATAAATATTAACAGCCACTACTTGAAACAGATACATTAGTGTGCCTACCTGTTCCAGCAACTTTCTTTTACTCATTCCTTTTCTTTCCAACTGCTTTTCAATAATTCTAGCATTGTTCGCATAGGAATCTGCCACTTCTCTCTGTAATTCAAATTACATTGATTTACATTAATCATACAAGATAAATTAATTGTTAATTATATTAACCTAGTAATTTTATGTAAGTATTTCAAGTGCAGAGGAACAGAAGAGGAAGAATAAATCAGTGAGATAGCATCATCATCAGTCTTGTTTTTTGAAAATGAAGACATTGATTTTTCTTCAAAACAGTTGTTGATTTTTACATATCCTATTTTACATGCGTGTATTTTTCACGTGATGGTTCTCTGGGTTTTTCACAAACTCTGTTTCATATTATAATCTAATGAAACAGTACAATGTAAAAATTAACCACACAAGAGAATAAGTCAAATGGAAAATGTCATAAGTTTTATACTATCTGAAGAGTTTCAAATCTAGTCCATTAATCAGCTTCTGCCTCTAAAATCACAGTGACTAGAGTGGTAACCTGATTATCCAAATTAGCACTGGACTTTATACTAGATGTAAGATAAAGGAGTAAGTAGTATAAGATGGGTAACAACCTACAACAGGATATCTTCAATTTTAATTGGATTTGTTCAATACCTCTAACGAAGTAAAACATAATAAACATTGTCATAATACTGCATATATTTTGGCATAAACAATAGTACAATTGCTATAAATTTCAACTGGGTTACACGTTTCATCAACGTAATTAGCCTGAGTTATTAAAAGTGTAACCTATAGTGTTTGTTGCATCATTAGGCCCGAGTCATTAAAAATGTAACCCATAGTGTTTGTCGCATCATTAGGCCTGCAGGAATGGATGTTGGGTTCTTGAGGTAATTTTCCACACGTTGGAAATGTCCCAAAAGCCACTGAAATATGCATGTTAGCACAAAGTCCACAATTCTAGCACCAACCCTGCAGTTAAAATCCAATGTTGAAATAGGAGGATTAGAACCGGCAAAATACTTTATCCATAGAGAATATTATTTGCTGGATGCAAACCTTGACTGGATTTTTGCAGAATACTATTTTCCATGCTAACCCAAACATCATACAGTTCATTTCCTGAAAAATTTTAGCAACTTCAACAAACAGACTTCTGTGCTTGTGAACTAGTTTTATCTTCAGACACTTTTGGAAAGTCTAAAGCCCCACCATGGACTTTCCACTTTTAAAACCAATGATCTTTTGCAAACTAGTCTTTAGGACTGCACAATGTGCTGCACTTCATTGGGTAGTTTTGACAGTTCCGACATGCATTTTGCTATAGCAGAGTCACCTTCTGTATTTTACACAGTCAAAATAATTACAATAGGAAAGGACATTAACAACCTGGATATAACCACCTAAGAAAATAATCTGTGGGTGAGTGAAGAAAGGCCATATCCAGTAACTTCTGTCATTTGATGTAGTCTTGAATGTAAAAACCACCCAAAACACTTTGGTAACCAAACTTCATAAGTTGGATTAGGTTGGATTCTTCACTTCTGTGTTTCTTGGATCTTTGAGGGAAGAAACATGATCACTCCATTTCAAATCCGAGGTCATGCATGAGTTTGAGTGCACCTATAAGACAAGGTGACAACAACAACAACATCATATGCATGTCTTTAATATATTCTTCAAATATGTGTGATGAATTATTGCAGCATCATTATTATTTCTCTCATCAGCAAGGTATGGTCCCATAAAGGACATTGTGTATCTATCTGTAAACACAATCATCATCAGCTTTACAAGGGATCATTGCTTAATAATGCTGTATTCCTTTGTTAGCATGTATTGCTAGCACTTTTTGTATGTAAACATAGGTCCTATCTAGAACTGTGATTGTTGTACCACCTTTACCATTAGCCACCAATCCTCTTGCCCAAATTCCAAATAAACTGGAACAAATTCAATTGATCAAAGCTTCACAAACCAAGTGAATTGCTCTCTGAATGATGTAAAAATCCTCTAAGTCCAAGATAGTTGACTAAACCCTATCTGAAAAGCCAGCTTGAAGCTTAACCAAGAGGACAGCTAACTACGAATTTCCAAAAAAGATCTCACATAAGTATTTTATAGACAGATGCCTGCATGCTATCATCTAACTGAGGTCTTTGTAATCTTGTAAGACTGAAATACTCCTCATCTGTGAGTTTGTGTGTCTACCAAAATCTGTTCCTGCCAATCTCTGTTGAGCTGTCTGAGTACTTTCCAAAAGGTTCATGTTTTAGTACTGTTGAAATATGTATAGTCCTTCAGCTGAGGTTTTAAAAGTGAAATAGAGTTTGTAGAAAATATTTTCCATCTAGGTGACAGTGGGAAAAATAATATGCTGATTTAAAAACATGTGGGAACTGGTTTCCATTAGAATAATAGTTCCTATGTGTAGGGTATACAACACATTTGGCACAACTTCTTCATGCTGATGCAATGCAGTTTCACAAGCCTTTGACTCAACAAATTGGGGATACTGCTTAATGATTGTGAAGGGAACACGTAAGCTAGGTTAGTCCTGTCAATAGAGTTATCAGCTTCAGTGACTTGGTCATGATGTGTAGCAGGTCATTTATATTGAAAATACTGCTGGTAGCATTTATTACAGATTACATCATTTTTTACATTCAAAAGGTAAATTCTCCATTATACATTACGAGGCCCTGAATTAGATTTTCTTCTCTTGGCATTTGCTGTAAAATGACATACAGCACATCTATATATTTAGCTGTTGCACAGCTGCTTTTAGAACAGCTCTAAGTTTTTCAAGTACAAACTTTTAAATCATAGCTCTGTCATCTCTTGACCAATTTGAGGTCTAATTACAATTTTGGACTCAGGAGGTCAAATTGTTTTAGATTGTTATATTTAACTTTTTTCATCCAACAACAAAACTACATTTCCATACATTAAAGAAGAGAGGTATTCTACTAAATGAAATGTCAAATGTTGCAGAGAAAAGATTCACTAAAACAATTATTTTGCAGAACATATAGTTAGAGTAGGAAACAATTTGTTATTTGGGTTGCACTTGCCATTGTTGCCACTACTGTGAATACCTGTGGCAACACAACAGATGGGTATGATATTTATTTAAAATACATAATGACTATTAGGACTACCATGGCCCTACTCTTTATTACTGTTTTAAATACAACTATATTTAAAAGCTAGTAGATGATGCAATACATACTGTGTGATCCATGCACAAGTAGTATCATGTCTATGTAATATTGTAAGATAATCCACTGACATAAATGCTATTTGATTATCCAATCACATTTCATTGGCTAGTGCAGTATCAGATTGGATTAGATATTTGTCCCAGCCCTAACCAACCACATAATAAAACATGCAGAATAAGTAGAATTAATATCAAACAGATGTTTCAAAGAACTGATTACTAATAAGCTTCTTGTGACTCCAACTTTTGATCTGGGATATCTTCACCACTACACAATGGTCTTGAAAGACAGGAATTCTCTCACAGTGCCAAACAACAATCAGAAATATATCTGGAAGAAGTTCAATCATACTTAACTCAAGAGTACTTCAATCAAGAACTTGCAAAAAAAATGTCAGAGTAACTCAACACGAGACATATCAACACAATGCAAGTTGGTAAACTGCAAAAGACCATTAAGCATATATCTTTCTTTTGTCATGACAAATTCAATTCCCAAAATAATAATTTTATCCTTTTTTTTGCTTCCCATTTCAATCTGTAAAATCCCTTAGAATATTGTAGTATTCTAAAATACTATATGGTGAACATTGTTACTGAAGAGGAATAATTAAGATGACTTTTTTTTTATCTTGAGTTAGCACAAACTGAACATTTGCAGTACTGTTAGTAAAAATGTAATCGAAAACACCTCAGTTGTAAAAAAAAAAGGTGCAGCTTAAAATGACTGAGCATGCGACTTAAAGGAATGAAATCAAAATTGGCGGCCAAACTGGTAGTTACACTTAAAGTATTGATAAGATATCATACCTTTTTCTCACCACAGCAAGAAAGAAAGTGACACTTGATAGTAACCAACATTTGTTTTAGGATTGCAACCGTATTATTTGGAACAGACCTATACTTTACAAAACCAACCAGATTCTTTAAAATATATGGTGTTAGTTTTTCCTCTCTAAAAACATTAATAACTACCTTTATAGTAACACCATGGAATATAGATTAACTCTTTTAGCATGGGCTCGGTCCCTGCAACCAATCTCATAACTATTTTGTGCTTGTTATAGTTTTGATATTACTAAGCATATGTTAACAAAATTTGGCAGATTATCAGTAAACATTACAATGCTTTTATATGCAAAATGTCAAATATGTTTTTATTAAGTCTTAAGGTTTGTAAAGCAATGTTTTTCTCATGCCTTTTTTTTTCTTTTCGCTTGTTGCCTATCCAACATTATAGTAATTTTCATTTTAAGATTAAAAAATACTTTTGTGCATCAGGAAATTTTAAAATTTCACATGCAAAATCTTTAGAATGTCCAGATAGTTATCAAATGTTTCTTAAGAAAAAACTTTATATTTTAGCTGTTATTTTCACTAACGAATCTCTCTACAGGTTTGGTCGATTTGACCAATCTCATAACCATGTTAACAAATTAGAATATAAATATAAATTACGAATTTTTCATTCTAGAATGGACACAAATTATGACACGAAAACATAAAACACAAATAGCTTAAATCTCATAACATTATACATTTATATATATTTAAAGCTTTTATTATATTGACCTGTCAGCCATGCCTGGCCTAATATACAGAAGTTACAATGATGTGGTGCACGTGCACTCAAGTTACTGTATCCAATAATATAAAACTGACCCTTAGTCTTTACAAAGTGACTTGGCTGTGTTTTAGTGGCCAAGTATTTTGTAAAATACAGTCACATTTCAATTATTATACATTATATATGTATATAGATTATTGCTATCTAAACTTATTTTTCTTAAAACATAGAAAAGTAAAGCGAACAATTATCTCTTCTAGTTACGACCTCTGTACTTTGTTGCTGCTTAACGTAGGTTGCTAAGCCTTTTATAATTTAGCATCTGGAGGATATGAAACAAAATAATTTTTTTTAGGTTTCATATATACAGTTGAATAACCAAAAAATCATAAATTACTATATCAATACCATAGAATTTCACTATAATTTGTCAAGCTTAGTAACAAAGCTGTATTTTAGTCTAGAAAAATATGAAATTGCGAGCAGACTAAAGACACACCCTACCTCATTGAAATCTTGGTTTGAAAGAAAGAGATGGCATCCAAACACATTAAAACGGCTGAGAAAGCCACTAGAGAGCCATTCTGAGCTTCCAATTGGTTATTCATGTCATATATAGAAGTAAATCTATATAAGAGAGCATTTACAAAAATAGAAAGAGGTGGGCAGGGTGCCACTGTGTTTGATTTATTACATGAGCAACATCTTAGCAAATTGAAAATATAAAAAGCTCTTATTTTATATTCCAGCTTGTCAATATCAGTAATTTGAATTCCTAATTCATACAAAACTATAGACTTAGGATTTTGACATCTAATCTGAACCAGTGCTGCATTCAACATACCACGTGACACACAAAAATCGATGTTTAATTGTGTTTTTTAATACTTACTTTTAAATTAACAAATTGAGTAAGGTATAATTCTAAAATATCAGACCCACAATACCCACAGGCTAAAAGGAGTATGAAATAAGCCTTACAGGATAGGTGAGACAGGGAACAGGAGTGACAAAGGATCAAATGGAGGGAGTGCATGAAATTGAAGAACAATATTGACATTTCAATCTAGAATAACCACCTGATGAGGAGGTCGATGAATCCAGAAGGAATGCAATAAAAGAGAGACAGTGGGAGAGAAAAATACAACACGGTACCTAGAGAAAGGAAGGTGTTGGACAAGGCTGCTTGATAACCTACAATGGAAGAGACAGAAGCCGAATGATCAAATAGCCAGATAAAAAAATCTATAAGAAGAGGAACAGTGGGCCAAAAAGGGAAACTCCATGGCTTATGACCAGCGGAAGAAGGCTTTCCACTGATGTCAACAAACTGCAAGGGAAGAAGGGTGAATGGATTGGGCTAAAAAGGAAGTGACATGCACAGACAATCCAAATCTCTTTGCAAGGGACCAGATAAATGCCAGGTGTCAAGGCAGAAGGTGTGAATGGTGGGATGAAGGGCCAGTGATTGAGGTAGATGGAGTGAAAGGAAGAGTAATAGGGGAGGAGTAGTTTGGAGCTGAAGGAGAAGAAGAAACCAAGGTGGTGTGAGCCACTAGGGAGCAATCAGATGGAGCTGACACAGAGCTGGGACCTGTAGATGAAAAACAGGAGACCAAAAAAAGGCAACTTGGTGTTGAGGGAAGTGGCAAAAGCATCCACATAAAGAGTACTTTAGTGATTGCAAAGCCATCGGAAAACCTGAGTGTCAAGGGACAACTCCATGGTGGAAAGATGAAACGTATCTGCATTGAGTAGGCCCAATAAAGTAGTTCCAATATTCGACTACAAAGGGAACAAGAATGGTGCCTCCTTGATCACGACATGTCTGTTCCATGCAATAGGAAGAAAATGACTCAAAGCACGTCATACCACAAAAAGCTCCAAGATGTCGATATGGTATGACATTTCTTTCTGAGACCATTGTCTGGAAGCCTCCTGCTGATCAACCTATGCCCCCCAGCCTTGGAACAGATGCAATTCTGGATGAGGAGAAGGAAGCAGTACCTTCGTTGTAATGTTGTTCCTGTTCAACCACTAATAGAGATCATTGAGAAGAGAAGATGGAAGAGTAAATGGGGAATTTGAGTGATCCCAAGCAAGATTTCATTGGATGTGCAATGTCCAAAGAAGAGAATACATATGTGCATGACCCAAGGGTATAAGGGCTTCCGTGGAAGCTCAAGTCCCCAAAAGTGATAGAACCTTGCATGCAGAAAAGGGAGAGAAGAAAAGGCATGAAGAACTAAAGTTCCATCGAACACAGGTGAAGTGGAGGTTGGGCCCGACTGTGGTAAGTGTTGAAAAACACACCCAAGTGGACAAGATATTGGGTAGTAATCTGGAAAGACTTCGCCATCTTGAGAATCCAACCAACACGAGGTTCTTCTGTTAATAGCCAACATGAGTGTTGAAAAGACACCAGTTTAGAAGGAGCTAACAGGAGCCAGTCATCTATGTAATGGTGGAAACACAACACAATTGAACATGCATAAATCAGGCAAAAGCTTTTACCACTCCACAAAACACATATGGTGCTGAAGCAAGTCCAAAAGGTAAAGCATGAAACTGAAATACAACTCTGTATACATATAAACATCTGAGACGTTCACCTTGGTCATCCACAGACCTGGAGAAAATGCCAATTGAAAAGTGAGAAAAAATTCCAGGGTAAAGCAGAGAAGATCCAGAAATTGGTCGAGATGGGACAGAGCAGTCACAGGACACCAGTCCCCTGTTTTCTTGGGGAGGACAAAAAGCCTGGAGTAAAAACCTGGGGAAGGCTGGCTGACAGGCTCGATAACATGCTGTGAGAGAAAAGTCTGAATAGCCTTGGATCGATGCTGAACTGGAAACAAAAGAGGAGGGGAGAGGAAATGAAGAAAAAGTGAGCCTGGCAAACCCCTTATCACACACACTGGATGGGAGTGAACTACAACTACAGGTGAACAAATCAGACAAACATGCCCCCACTGGGCCAAATGCCACTGGATAATCACTGAAAGATGGACCAATAAATCCTTGGAGTGAAGAACAGGCAAGAGCTGGGAAGGTGAAGGTTGGAAAACGGGTATACAGTAGGGTACAGGAGCAGGCTGAGACAAATGAGCAACCAAAGAAGAAATGGTTGAGAGTTGCATTGAATATTCATGAATATCTCCAAAAAGAGGAGAAAAAAAGCCATCCACAGGTCACAAAGATATATGTAAGTGAAAGATGTAAGATGAAAATTGGATAGAGGATTCACAGGATCCTCCCACCACAAAGGCAAAAATTGCTCCAACTGCTGGAAGTCAAGAAAGGGTAAAAGGCCTAATAAGTAAGGTAATGCACAATGATCAGAAGCCCTTGGTGGACAAAAATGCATGCTGGCATTAACCCTCAGTTAGGAAATGAAATACACAATATGTACTCTAAATTTGAGAGAATGAGGGAATACAAGATAATCAGATGATGGGGCAGCATGTAACTTTTTAGGGAAAGGATCATATGAAACTAGGGATATAGAAAAATATAACAAACCCGAGAAAACATATTCATAGAGGCTAAGGTAGGTAGGTCTAGCAGATTTCACAGGAGTGGTACAAGTATTAAAAAAAAAGCTGTCAAAATCCTCCTAATTATGAACAGGAACTACAGTGACAGGAGGATTTAGTACATAGTTGGGAAAAGAGGGACGAGACATGTAAAATTCAACTCCCTGCAAATGAGGGCTGAAAAATCCTCAGCCAAGGTCCTCACACCTGAAGCTTGTGTCAAGACAATCAAAGTATTACTATCACAATAGTCCAAGTTCATAATCGACTGTGAGAAAAAATAAATAAAGGTAAGTTCTCTTGATGATAAACTACAGTGAAGAAACTGGAGAAAAAAGTATTTAAAACATGAAAGCACTACTTGAAAACAAAATAAAATTTGCAATAAAATAAACATTTCTGCAAGACCACTGCCTAACAAAAGGTGATGGTTAGGTAAAATCGAATACAGGGAGTCGCGTGTATCAGGAGAGTGTGTCTCACTCCTATTGATGGAGGGTTGTCGTAAGATGATTTACATGCGAAGACAAATCAACCATATTGATCATGAGGTAGGTAGGAGTTTCAAGGCTTGTAACATGGGAAAATATTTTGCATATAAAGGGCAGCAATGAACAAAAATAGCCCTTGTGTGAGTAGAGATGAGGTAGCAAATTGGAATTTTTGTTTTCATAAAGGTTAATAGAGGTGTGAACAACAAAGACAACTTTAAAACTAATTTCTTATTTCCAAAATTACTTAATAATTAAGTTTTTATCATACCTATTTCATATTGTTAGATGATCTTCTTTTCTCTTCTATTTTTCTACTGCTATAGCTACTAATTTTTAGAATATATATATATATATATTCCTCAAAATACATACATAAATAAATCTATATCAACTAAAGACGTAACAGTTAAAAGACATTGCTATGTTAGATACATTCAAAAATTAAATCAAATTCTATTAGCAACTCACTGTATAGAAGAAAAAAATAATTTTTAAGATTTTTTCAATATTGATATATTGAAACAGGTGATAAACATTTTTTAATATCCATCAGAAAAAAAAAAAAGAAATGAAAAATATTTACTGTTACAGGCTTAAAAGATTTAAGTCTTCATTTTTAACCCATGCATTAAAGAAATTCATAACAATAAAAAACATCATCATAAAACTTAGCCAAAACTTACTGCTTCAATTTCTTCTTCTTCTTCGTCTATAGTAGAGACTGTCACAGAACTAAATTTGCCCATGTTTTTGGTGTGTTTGGTGACCATAATCTAGAAATATGAATAATATACATTACTATAATATTTCCTCTTTTCTGTGAATTTCATATATGGGTAATATAAAATATAAGTTACAAAACAAAGTAGTAATAATAATAATACACACACACACACATATATGTATACAGACACACACACACACACATATATATATACACACACACACACACACACATATATATATATATACACACACAAATGCTAGTAGAAGAAATTAATAAAAGAAGGGAAAAATTAATGATATTCCGGTGTTTTCTTAATCGTATCAGGTGAATCTTATTGATGTTTTGGTTATATATTTTCTTTACCCACAGTAACAAAATACAATCTCTCTGAATCACCGTCAGCATATTTCATTAATCATTAAAAGTATAAAAAAAACCTATCAAATTCAGCATAAAATAATTTAAAATCAAACTTACAGAACTAATACATAGTGACAAGTTATACATAATGCCAAATACACATTTATTTCAACATAATTGGAAAATAAAGCACTTAGTATTTACCATATTTTCATGAAAATAACTTTACTACACAGTAAATAATTTTTCAAAATAAAAAAAATACTGTATTACCCACACACGAGTATACAGTATTTTTTTTATTCCAAATATTAATTTTTGTTGTTCTTGTTCAACAAGTGGAGCGATTCATCAATCAGCCAATAAGTACGTCTGTTAACAATCCCAGTTATTCTCTGGCCAAAGGACAAAGTATAAACACAACTACTTTTGACTGTGTTTGTCCGTATTTGAATAGATTACAATTGTGAATTAATTAATTGCTCACGTATTCCAAGACAAGTAGGTTTCACTTTCAGTGTATCCCACAGCATCACTATAACCTTTAACCTATGATTGGCTTCACAAAGCTTGAATCAAGAAGTGTTTTGAGACTGAAACAGTATTCCTTATAATTAATATCCATGTACTAATATTTAGCATGACTGAATAGAGAGTTCACCTTCTTAGGTTCTGAAGAAACTTGTGAAAAAATACTTGTTTTCATAGGACCATCTCCAGCCTTACATACAGCCCCTTTAACAATGAATGTAACGACACTCTTTGGATCATGCATGTAAAACAGTAATAGTCCACACCTGTAATAAAAATATTATGCAAAATTATTTATCATTCACGTAGATATTCATTAAAAAACTTTAATCACAAAATAATCGCTCATTCTAATTTTCTGAACTTCAAGTATTTTACAATATGTAGATGTTGCTTTTCAAGTGTCGAGAACAACTTGGGTAAGAAAAAATCAGCTAATACATGAACATCTTACAAACAGACTACAAAATATTATTTCAACCCTTTTTTTTACAAAAATATTTTTCAAATGCATTTGATTAAACTTTAAGTTGTGCTACACATTTTAGAGGATTAATCTTTTTTGGTGATATAATGAGAATCAAATCATTTCTTTCCTTCTTTCCAAAAATCTGTGTAAACTTTAATATTCTCTCATAGGTTTTCTTTATTTTCTAAAATATTGCTTCACTATCAAATATTTAATATCATACTTACTTTTTACACTTCTTTCTATACTGACGTTCAATTCCCTCTAACCTAATGTTAAAAATATACATATACCAATAAAATTAAAAACTGTTAAACAAAGAAAAAAAGTAGTAACTCATCATTTTGATTTTAAGCTGTACATTCTTCATACCTTTATCTCCAAAAATGGTCAGAAATTTGAGTAACAAGTATTATAAGGTTATGTAAATGTCCCAATAATAATTTACATCCTTACCAATAAGCTACTTAAGAACAAAACCTTAAAGAAAAATAGCAAAATAAAAAATAATTATAATTCTACTAGGATCAGAAAAAGATCTGATTAGGAAAGTCAAGATTTTTTTTTAGATTTGTAATATTGTTCAATATTCTGAAGAATATATGAAATCTTCTTTACTGCAAAAGCTGACTTGTAAGTCATGGACTCCCAGTCAGGTTAAAAAACATCAGATCTGGCTTTTGAATATTCTTTAAAACTTGGACAATTTATCCAACCTGATTCCATTTGCACCTATAACCTTAATCTACTTCCTATTTATATAATGATAAGAAAATATGTCCAACAAATAAACACGGTCAAATTGTTTTATTACATTACTGCACAAAAAACATGTTTATATTGCTTTAACTTTCCACATAAATTTTCTAAGAAGAATCAATCCTTACATAAAACTCATGTCATTTTTCAATAATACAAAGTTCAAATTTCTACAGGCACCAACATATTCATAAAAATAAATTCACATTAAAACAATAAAGAAATAACTTTGATTAAGATGAGACTGAAAAATCCATCTTTTACAATAGTGTTACAAATGAACATGTAAAGAAAATATTTTACCTTTTTAAGTAAACTGTTTCATCTTGTTCACATGATAATTTATGGGCATGTTTACTTCCATCAATAACACGTGCTCCATCCCTAGATCTAAGTGGAAGTTTCTCTAATGCACAATCTACCAAAAAAAGTAAAACAGAAAAGCATTATAAATACAGAAGCCTAAAATCATTTCATATAACAACTATCTGTTGATGACTTTCTTACTTATAAAAATGAAAATTATGAAGAGCATATTCTAAAATAAAACTACATTTATTTTTAAACCTCAAAGGTCATGTCAAACAAATAATACAAATTTAGTAGATCATTTGTAAAACACTTAGACTGTGATGTATCTATTTTAGTTTAACAAAATACTGAAAATTTAGCATTTGACATTTTCAGCAACTGTGAGATAATGTCTTCAAAAATGCATATAATATTCATTACATTTGAAATGGGTACTTGAAGTACAGGATATAATATAGCATGAAATAATAAAATAAACAATATTTATCTAAAACTTTATACTTACTAAAATGGTTAATACTAGCAAATGTATATGCATGTATCTTTTAACACTCTTCCTGCTAAAAACAAGTATGTTCAGTTTTTGCTAACTGCCCTCCAATGCTAACAACGAACATGTTTGGGTTCTGTACACTTTGACTATAAGGAGATGGCATCCTCTTTTGGCCATACTATGAACTATTCATCATATTTTGGGAATCGTAGATATACTAGGCTATCTCAGTGAATGAGTTACGTCAGCAATTTGAGATGGCTATGCCCATGAGAACACACCAACATCTCGATGTTCATGATGTTTTTGATGATATATTCGCTGATAGTGACTCAGAGGCAGAAATATTCAATGAAAATTATAATTCTCATAGTGCTGAATCAGACTTCAATGAGAATGGAGTAAATAGCAGAGATGAAGACAAGCAAGTTAGCGAAGAAGCCAGCGGGGATGATGACAATCCCCCACCTGATGAACCGTCACCTGATATAGAACAGAACTGTGGTAGGGACCATTACAGAGGACATGGCCATGGAAGAGGTAGAGGTAGGAATGTGAATAGAGATCAAGATGATCTTGAATAGGACTGGAGTGAAAATATTGTACAGACAAATGTCCCTGCATTCACTGGCACTCTTGGTCTACTTGTGCAACTTCCTGATGATGCTGGCCCTATTGACTATTTACGGCTTATTCTAACTGATGATTTCATGGATCTACTTGTTCGAAAAACCAACCTCTATGCTTCACAGTCTCTCAGAGACACATCACTGAAGGCAAAATCCTGAGCTCATTCCTGGAAAGATGTCACCATCTCAGAAATTTGGAAATTTCTTTAACTTGTTTTCCTTATTGATGTAATAAAGAATCCTCAACTGAACATGTATTACACAATAGATGACATGCTAGCCACACCATTTTTCAATAGTGTCATGCCAAGAGAAAGATTCCTTATGAGTGCAAAGTTTCTAAATTTCAACAATAATGATGCACTACCCAACCTATGTGATGACAGACTATACAAAGTTTATAATCATATCATAGAGAAGTTCCACACTCTGTACATGCCTGAAAAGCACTTGTCATTAGATAAGGGGATATTAAAATGGAGGGGGAGGCTCATATTTAGAGTTTATAATCCTAGTATGGTCTGAAGGGTTATATTCTTTGTGAATCAGGTTCAGGGTACATTTGGAACTATAGCCTTTACTATGGTATGGGATTCTCCTCAATTCAAATTTGTGATGATTTTCTTAGACCTTTGTATAGTCAGAATTACAAGGTATATATATGGATAACTTTTACAATGAGGTACCAGTATCTAGTCATTTGCTTGCAAACCAGACACAAACTTGTGGAACTGTTTGAGTCAACCAGAATTTCCACAATCCTTGAAACTGGAAGGCACCACTCTGAATAAGGGTGGGGTTGCATGTCAAAAGAAGGACAATATACTACTCCTTATATGGATGGATAAGAGGTTATAAAGATGATATCTACTGTGCATGACTCCCAACTTGCTGATAGTAAAAAGAAAGACAAAGATGGTAACCCAAAAATGAAACCGAAGCGTATTATCCAATACAACAAACATATCTCGGGGGTTGATCACTGTGATAAGATGACAAAATTCTATACTTGCACTAGACAAACTGCAAAGTGGACTAAGAAACTTGTGTTCCATCTGATGAGTTTGTCGGTATTCAACTCTCAAGTGCTGTATAACAAACAGCAGGAGCAGAAGAAGGTGTTATTTGATTTTCTCATGAGCTGCATAAAATCAATGTTTGAACTGGGTAGTGCAGCTGAAGAGGACTCTGCATCCGAGAATGATGACCTCCCAGGACCAGCTGTCATAACAATGCCAAGATCTGATCCACCCACAAGGCTTTCCAGAGGAGTAAAGAGGCATTCATTACAAAGAAGTCTAAACCAAGTAGGCCATGTAATGTGTACCAGAAAATTGAAAAATGGAGCGAGTCTCATTGGTATTCCAAGAAAATCTCTTTGTTATAGAGAGCTAAAGAGAAATAAAAGACACTCAATTTGAAGTTGGAAAAAAACTCTTTCATAGCTTTATTTCATTATATCCATAAAATTGGAAAGTTGTGAAAAAAATGTTAGCTCAGAGGGATTAGTAATGTAAAAAAACCTTAGTAGGGAAAGTGTTAATATACAGGTCCACTGACTACAGGTAATCAGCAATAGTACTTGTGCTAGGTGCAGAATTAAATGTTACTTTCATTTGGAATCGGAATTCCAAGTAAAAATTAAAATAGTTGGCAAACTTGAACTGTTCATCTTTTTTCTAACACATATAATATTAATCTTAACAAGGAGGGGAGGGAATTTAACTGAGATCTCCTACTAAATTTCATCAAAATTAGTTTAGCCAGTTCTTCATAATAATTTGTGATGTCATTACATCATAAAGAAATTCAGATTGAAAACTTTGTTTTATAAAGATATATAAAGAGACAGTGAAGATATCGTGCCATATGCAACATTATTTCATTGGCTTCACAGAGGGGGTGTGATGACATGCACATGTGACATTTGCCATTCAGGTCTACAAAGTATGAAAAGTAGGCAGGGGGAATATTGAAATGGCTGTAGTATAGCATACAAACCATTTGTCTAATTACTTACTCATTTAAACCTGATCTTTGGAGAGACCATCGGAGTTCCTCTGCTGTATTCATCAAAATAGTTTCTGATAGATCCTCACAACAATGTGTGACATTAAGACACCAGAGAAATAACTCTGTTTTATTTAAATGTAAATTGTACACATATAGCTTTTGACACCAAGAAGAGTGTGCCATAAATTTAGCAAAACTATCAAATGGTAATTTCAACCAGTTTGTTAAACCATAAGGAAGATATTTATGTATTCATCACAATCCACTTGTTAAAGTACATACGGTATCTTTTATATTTACACAGGTTATTAGTCTAAAACCATTAGACCATGGTGTATTAATGTACAGTCTTAATGACAATTATGTAAACTTATGATGTGAAAATATGATTCCTTCAGGGCATTATACTTTATTTATTGTTAGGCTTATAATATTTCTGTAAATATAAGTGATAACACATATCCTTAGTGCAGACACAACTGCATTTACCATTCATGACTGTTAAAATTTTATAGGCTGTTAACAATTATTCTGGTATATTTTCTGATGTACTATTTACTACATAAATCCGTTAGTTGTCACCACATTTGACAACCGGTAATCTAGTCTAGCAAACTCAGTTGATAAACGATATAAATAATGCATGAAACACAATATGGGTGGGGATATTTTTTACACTGAGTAACCAAGACAACAATTTTATACTACTACTAAGTTTTACTCCTACCCACAAGTCCAGTCTAGCACCAAATTCTGACTGTGTATCAGGTTTTTATACATATGGGTGGGTAGGATTGTTTACAGTAGGTGTCTGTGACTTGTTGACAATAAATGGACATCTCATAATCCACTTGTTTTAAAATAATATATTCAAAACAAGTCCACTGTATATACAAATGTTTGTCACACAGTTAATCAACACAGTTGTATCCAGAGCTTTAAATAATCATCTTTTTTCATGAAGACTCCACACAGGCTGTTTCATTTACTTTAGAACCCAATTGACAAGACAAATTATTCATCTCTACTCTGTTATCACAATACAATCAGTCATAGATTCACTTATGCTACCCCATGGGTTGCCACAGTTGTATCCAGAGCTTTAAATAATTCTTTTTTAAGTCAAAAGTCCATATAGGCTGGTTCAGTTGCTTTAGAACCCAACTGACAAGAAGAATTATTCTTCTCCACTCTGTTGTTACAATACAGTCTGTGATTATTACACTTTAAAAGTTTCCACTATACACTATTTATGGCTAAACTATAGTCTATACCTATCTCTCTCTCTCTCTCTCTCTATTTGTCTTTATCCATTTACTTAACTTACTTACTTGCATTACCTATATATATATATACACACATATATATTTATTGCCTGATTGAGGCCAAGAATGTTCTACAAATTACAAGACGTTATGGTGTAACAATACTCACTAAAAGCAATGAGAAAAATACAAAAGATTCGAGTAACACAACATCAATTAATAACAAATGATTCATAAATAGTTATCCAAGCAAACCTGCCATTACTATACCTTCTAAAAATAACTTACTTTAATACTCGCACAACATAAACTAAATAATACTCTCATATTAAACTTCAAATGAGCAGTCGGGTATATCTAACATTCTGTATCTGCTTTTTTTTCCTCACTTAACAGATCAAATGGGGAAGAAATAAAAGAGAGTGAGAGAGAGAAATCTAGCAAGTTAGAAGCTTCAGTAAATTTTCAGCTCATGACTTAAGAGTATTTTACTTGTAAAATAATAAATAAATAACTAATAAATATCACAATCAAACACAAAAACTCTCATCACTAAATCTGTTGCTGTTAGTACTTAGCATTAGAAGTTAAAAAGAAATGAAGCAATACAAAATTTACTAATACTATAGTAATAGTAGTACTACTAGTGAATTGAATACCCAATATCAATGCCATTTGACCGCAGAGACAATAGTAAACGTTGAGAGGCTTTTCTTCATTATATTCTTCCTGATCCTTGGTATCCGAACATACTATACTTCTTGATACAACTTTCGGCATCTTATTAATTGAATAATTTAAATTCTTAAAAATTAAAGAACCAAGTCACAAAACAATGCCAATAATCGCCAATGGTAACACTTCTTTAAGTCTGCAACGCCACCCATCACAAATATTAGTATTTCTAAACCAAAGGATACCAAAAAAAAAAAAATAACAACAATATATATTTGTGATAAAAATTGTATCAAACGGAGATGTGTCTTTTTTTCTTTTTTTACATTCTGGCTAATTTGTCCATTGTGGATTCAAGATAAGAGGCGTGTAAAAATAGTACTTCAGTTCTATATTTTGCCTCCCATTAGTTATTACCCAAGAGGCATTTCGTATATTACCAGATCTCGTCAGTTTGGCTGGATGAAAATAAACAAAAGATTCTCCAAAACGCTATTTACTCAAGCAATATAATATTGTTGCGAACAATTAAAATAATGTTTTGTTTTTAGATGTATCTGAATTATATTATTGTTTGCTGAAAAATTGTGTATTACAATTATATGTGTTGTAAATTATTCAATCATTAGGCAATCATTCTTCTTCTCTTTTTTTTTTCAGTTTTGGGCGGAATCAGTTTTGATTAAGAAGTAAATATATCCCACAATAAGCGAAGTGTTTTGGGGAGATACTATAAGAACTTATAGTATCTTCAGTGAGCCAATCAAGAGTTTGATATCAGTGAAACAACTTGATTATGTATCGTAAATCTGGGTAATAAAGCCTGAGTGTGATTGTATAGCCTTAGAACGGAATCCAGTATTGTTCAGGAAAGAGAAATATTTTGTACAAATGGCTAATAGTTATTGGAATCAATACACGGAATCTTTGT